ATTATTTTTATTATATTTGTTTTACTTATTATTATATTCTATTAAGTCAAAAGGGTTATATATTTGATGCTCGGTACAAACAACATAAGTCAAAAATATCTAGTTTTCAGGAGAAGCAATTTAAAGTTTGAAAAATGTTGTAAAATCATGAGTGAAATAATGAGTTACTTTATGTGGTTAGATATGATACTTGTGTGACTTATTATGTATCTATATGGTATTCAATGCAATTTACTTAAAATTTAAGGTTTTTTTTATGACTTAAGAGTCTTAATTTTAAGACAATAATATCTGACTACTACCATGATTTAATACTTATTTAAGACCACAATATTACCGATTGGTGTTATTACTTGGTATAACAAATTTATTAACAACTTAACTAAAATATTGTAATGGCACCGACCCACATTGTTAAAAAAATAAAAATATATACACATACTATTATAARWAAAAYATCACTGTATAYATATTTCAAGAAAAAAAATGCTTTTACTTTTAGCAAAAAATAATAATATGTCAACAAATACAAATTATAATAAAATGAACATCATATTTTCAATAACACAAAATAAAATAAATTAATGCTTCAATTAATAGATAACTTAATATGAATAACACGGTTTTTTATGTTTAATAACAAGAACTACATCAAAATTATAAAATAAAAATCACCAGAGCTATATTTATAAAATTATGAAAAAATCAATTTTAATAAAACTAACTAAATACAAAATAATCTCAGTCTTAAAATTACAYTTTAGTAATTACTTATTAGCAATATCTATTAATATTTTATTTATTCTCCATCAATACTATCTTCATCAAGATCTGGGTCATTATTTTGAGTCTCATTTGTTGTTTTAAATTCACGATAGWGTTGATGTAATATTGGTGGAATTGGAGGTAGCAGATCTAGTAAATTTTTCTTTTTTTTCTTTCGATATTGCTAAAGGCCCATTGTAATTTTTTTTTTACTTGTAATACCACTATTTCCACTATTTCATGAATTATTGTTTGTCAACTGATTCATTGATATAATTATCAATATTATAATATTCAATTTCTTCAAAATTATTTTCTAGCAATATTTGAAATTCAGGTTCTAGATATTCATACAATTCTAAATTGCTAACATTTTCTCCTAGAGGATTGCAAAGGCGGTACTTTGTTTCTACTATCATTATAAGTAACTAATGGCAAATCTTTACTTGAAAAAATGTCTTTATTGGTTTCGGTAGGGTTAGTTGAGTCTATTTTAATATAAATACAATAATTATTATTTCTATAGGTTGGTATATAATAATTAGTACCATTTCAGAACAATGATTCATAATATAATAATTATTTGAAAACAATAACTTAAATATTATACTTACTAGAAGAAGTTCAAGAAGNGACCTAATACAGTCTGTCTCTTGTATGTCTGTTAAGGTAAGGTCTCGTGTAAAAGAGTTTGAAGTAGATTTGGTTTGTCATGTATTGCCAATAGTGGTTGATGGCTTACCTAGTTGTCCAAAACCAAAAGGCGAATGGGATATACCTTAAGATCTGATGTCACAACTGGCTGATCCTCTCTTTGACGTCTCGGGCAAGGTAGGCCTACTCATCGGTGGTGGAGTATTCTTTGATTTGTTTGAGCCAGCGAGAGTTCGATTACCAACAATAGGTGTATGTTTGCAATATTCAAAGTTTGGTTGGGTAGTGACAAAAGAAATGGCTACTATCTCACTCTTGGCTAAACGTTCTATTGGACAAGCATGTGAGAGCAGCTTCAGAATCTTGCGTAATGAAGAGCTTGAAGCATACCAAACACCATCTAAGTCCAACAAGAGATGTATTGAAGAACATAGAACTTTGAGTCATTTTGAAGAAACCTCGAGACGAGATGAGACGGCCCAGTTTGTGTTACGGCTGCCATATAAACCTGAAAAACGTAAGCTTTGAAGCACACTAGAAATGGCTACTACTAGATTCCTGAGCATTRAGCGAAGGCTTCAAAAGAACGAAGAGCTGAAGATTCAATATACCAATTTTATGGAAGAATATCTGAGAACGCAGGTCACACGGATAGAGTGTGCGAAAAGGTAGATCAACCAGAATTTTTATTCTATCTTCCTCGCCACCCAGTAATTAAATTTTTGAGGCTCACAACAAAACTGCGAGTTGTATTCGACGCTTYAGCTAAGAGTTCTTCGAATGTATCACTGAATGATGTTCTTATGTGTGGGCCGACAGTGCAAGAGGATCATCTATTTTCAATTTTGACAAGGTTTCACAGATATCAATTTGTTATAACAGCAGATATCGAAAAAATGTTTAGACAAATAAAGGTGGATCCAGAAGATCAAGATTTTTAGAGATTAATGTGGCAATCTCAACCAGATGAAGCACTTCAAACCTATCGCCTCACCCCGTAACCTATGGCACGACGGCAGCATCTTTTATGGCCACCAATTGTCTAATATTGTTGGTGGAAGGAGCAAGAGAGAGTCATCCAAAGTCGTCTAAAATAATACGCCGTGACTTTTATATGGAAGATTGGATGACTGGTGCCGATGTAACTGAAGAATGTTGTCAAATACAGCAGCAAATCAATATGATTCTTGATTCAGCGAAACTACCTTTGCGGAAATGGTGCTCAAATTCTCGTGATGTTCTGAAGTATATYGGGAACTCAAACACTGACTCACTATTTGCATTAAAAATTAATTCAAACGATATAGTTTAGTCCTTGGGGCTTAGCTGGTAYGAGATGAATTCCAATTCACAGTCGAAACGACGCTTTAAGAGTTAAGGCAACAAAAAATATGTTGCTATCCGATCTCAACAAGATATTCGATCCACTGGGGKTTTTAGCTCCTGAATTAGTGCGAGGAAAAATATTTTTGCAAAAATTGTGGCAGATGAAAATCCATTTGGACAAACTTTTAGATGCAGAAGATGGGAGGCTTTCTATAAAGGGCTTGATCAGCTTAGCTGTATCCCTATTCCGAGAAAATGTATTCCGAGTTTTAGCTCTGAGAGCAGGTTTTGCGATGCTTCCGAAGAGGCCTATAGAACTGCCATTTACGTGCAAAGCAAGGAGGGTAACTGGACAGTCAGGTTGATATGCGCAAAAACACGGGTCACGCCATTGAAAGGATCAACGATACCACGGTTAGAGTTATGTGGAGCACTYACCCTTGCTCAATTGGCCAAGAAAACAGCTGAAGCATGAGAGTTGGAAAAAGGTAACATCTACTTATGGRCAGACTCTATGGTTGTCATCGGATGGCTCAATAGCGAATCATGTAGATTAAAAACTTATGTAGCGAATCGTGTTGAGCAAATTTTCGAGATTACAGTTCCTAAGCAGTGGATGCACGTTAAGACAGACGAAAATCCAGCAGATGCTCTGTCAAGAAGGTTGACTCCAAATGAATTGAAATGTCATAGACAGTGGTGGGAAGGCCCGCGGTTGCGGTGGCTGTCAGAGAAATCAGATAATTGGTTAAGTACATTCATGTTACTACCAAAGGAAGAGTTTCTACTAGAAAAAAGCCTATTCGTCTAGCGCTAATCGCATTAGAGCCCACAAGAGTCCCAACGAACTACTTCTCAACCTGGCATTGACTAGTCTAAGCAGCCACCTGGTCATTAAAGTTCATCAAGTTCAAGAATACGAGAAACGCCGGCACCCTACCAAAGTATCTTAATGTGGCCGATTTAAGAGAGGCTGAAAACGGATTAGTAAAGCGAGCACAGTTGTACAATTTTAATGAAGAGCTACATGCATTAAAAACAGGAAAAGAAGTATCGAAAGGCAGCAAGCTGAAGTGTTTGTATCCATTACTTAGGGACGACAATTTGATCTTAGTAGGAGGCAGATCGAATAACGCCGAAATAGCTGAAGAACAACAGCACCCGATAATTTTGTCATCCAATCATAAAATAACTAGATTAATTTTTGAAGACGTGCACAAGAGGCTTTTGCGTTGTGGCCCACAACAACTATTAGCGAGTGTACGGGAGTGGTATTGGTTCTTGAGGGGAAGAGTCATGGCTCGCTCTGTGAAAAAAAAATGCGTTACGTGCATCCTGGCAAGACCAACATTTACGCCTCCTTTATGGCAGCGCTACCGAAGGCATGGGTACAGCTTTCTAGGCCGTTTACCGTGAGTGGAGTTGATTTTRCAGGTCCACTGGTTGTTTGCAGTGGAGTTCAACGCATCACTGGTGTAAAGGCATGAGTTGCAGTTTTTATATGTTTTTCCACAAGGGYGATTAGAAGCTGTAGTTGGTTTAACAAATGGAGCCTTTATAGCCACTCTACGTCGATTTATTTCCCGATGCGGGAAGTGTTCAACAATCTACAGCAACAATGGAACCAACTTCAACTTTGTAGGTGCGCAAAAGGAACTTACCTCATATATTCAGAATTGTGATTCACAGTTGACATGTGAAAGAATCGAGTGGAAGTTCAACCCGCCATCAACCCCACATTTTGGGGAACTTTGGGAGAGCGCTGTAAAAAGCAGAAAGCACCACTTAAATCACATATTAAAGGATAGCTGTCTCAATTTGGAAGAGCTCAACACATTACAGAAAGAAGTTCTAACTCCTGGTCATTTKTTAATTGATGGACCCTTACTATTGCTGCCAGAACCGAACATGTGCGTGTTCTGATGCGTGTTGGAGATGTAGAARAAGGACTGAATTTCGCCCAGCAAATGTAAATTATGCAGAATAACGGCTGTGCATCCAGGGAAAGACGAGATCATACGCGTAGTTGTGTAGTAACACTTCGTACATCAAGCGGAATTTAAATAAGGAAACCTGTAGTTATGTTATGTCGCTTACCGGTGTCTGAGGATACGCCAGTTGAATGTGATGATTATCAACGGGGGTGAATGTTGCGGCCGCATCGTATTTACGACGCAAATATTATATTTTGATTAATTAATATCGGACAATGAGGATAACTGGTCACACACACACAGAGACGGATTTACACAATTGCCGCCCCATTGCGACTAAGTAAAAAAACAAAATAACGAAATACAGTGAAAACTCTTTATAACGAAACTCGTTATAACGAAAAACTCTATTTTACGTAAATAACATTAAGTTAACTTATAATGGTTGGTTTGATTTAAAACCTATTAATTACTCTCTATTACAAAAAMTCTCAATAACGAAAKAAATCACATGGTCCCTTCAGATTCGTTATAGAGAGTTTTCACTGTATGTAATCTATGGTTAGTATTTAGATAATAGATAATATACGTTCCGGCAGTCGTTCGATTATTTACTTGGACGTTTATTGTTATGTATTAGTATTATAAAATAATGAAGAAATTATATTAACAAGAATATTATGTTATAAAAATATTAAACATTTTCATTTTCCATCCTTCAAAGTAATCACCGTACATAAGAAAATCAAAAAAAAACCTAGAGTATATTTTCAATAAAATATTGGCCTAAAATTGCCGCCCTAGGCAGCTGCCTACTTTGCCTGACGCTAAATCCGCCTCTGCACACACACACACGCGTAGTCGAGTTAACACGGCGTGTGCCAAAATATTATTATATATTATACCTATTCCCTCTCAAAATAGTGCAAATTTTATTTTTTATTCTAATCATTAGCGCCAGAAGGGCCTACTTATTATATTGTTATACAAATTAAATTATTATACCTTTGTGTCGGCACGTCGCCAATTTATTACATTTGTGTGTTAACACCATTTCACGTGTTTTTATTTTTATGTAAATTTATTTAGCTAGGCAGCGGCTGGCCAGCAGTGCACCGACAACCTGTGAGTTATTTATTTTATATTATTATTATTATTTTTATTATATTTGTTTTACTTATTATTATATTCTATTAAGTCAAAAGGGTTATATATTTGATGCTCGGTACAAACAACATAAGTCAAAAATATCTAGTTTTCAGGAGAAGCAATTTAAAGTTTGAAAAATGTTGTAAAATCATGAGTGAAATAATGAGTTACTTTATGTGGTTAGATATGATACTTGTGTGACTTATTATGTATCTATATGGTATTCAATGCAATTTACTTAAAATTTAAGGTTTTTTTTATGACTTAAGAGTCTTAATTTTAAGACAATAATATCTGACTACTACCATGATTTAATACTTATTTAAGACCACAATATTACCGATTGGTGTTATTACTTGGTATAACAAATTTATTAACAACTTAACTAAAATATTGTAATGGCACCGACCCACATTGTTAAAAAAAATAAAAATATATACACATACTATTATAAG